GCGCATGGCTTAGTTCATAGATTTATTACTAAATCTCTTAAGCTGGTCGAACTTCGAGAGTTATTACTAGTATTACGATTTAAAATATTATAATCAGCGAGGGTAAGCAAGAGATGTTTAGTGCTAAAAAAAACGGATTTCAATACCTGTTGTGGGCACAGTACATATAAACCACTGTGTAGCGTTGTGCTTAATAGCCCAACAAACAAGCAAACAACAGATGAATCAGCGTATTTCAGTAATTATAAACTTACATTTTGAACATTCCTAGTTAGACCGCTACATTAAATTAGCTTCATTACGGGGCTCGGCATGGCTTGATTCGCAATCTAAGGATTAGAAGTTGGAATACCGTCGTCATCAAACATGCTCGCCCTTTCAGGGGGGGGGTGTGTGTTATAATATGACGATCAATCGATCAATCCCGCTTTTCATTGGTAAAGAGTAGCCCAAGAGATAGCGGTGGGAGACGTTAACTAGCTGCCTTCCCTCTAGTCTATCATTTTTAAATTAAGGACGGCCATCACAGATAGCCCTCGAAAGCTATATTATTCACTGGATTAATTTTTAGTTCTGAACTATGTAGATAACTTACTCTGATTTAAAAGCTATTGATAATTAAGTCGATATTAATGCTAGGCTTAACATTTATGTTCAAACTAAGTCAATAAATTAGTAGGGAACATTGAAAACTACTGTTAATAAGCAGTAAAAGTAAAGATAATGACATGATAATGTTTTGTGACTACTGCATCGATATTTAAAAAAGATATAACAAGATTTTTCAGCATAACACTATGTACATTTAGAGCGTTGCAGATAAAAAGTGTCTCATTATACCGTTGGTGTTTTAGTTGTTTACAGGCAGCCCTACTCAATAGAAGACTTAAGTGATATAAAGGGTTCATTATGTGCTACCATTTTAAATATTCAACTAATAAATGTGTATGTTATGAGGTTACTGATGTGAGCATGATGAATTACAAAAAAGTCTGAAAATGAGTGGTTGAAAAATAATAAAATAATCAGCTTAAAAGATATCTAATAATGGCTGGAGACGGCTTAAATGGGTAATGAAGAAAAACTTTAAT